TTTGTTACTATTTGCTGTTCAGGCTATGCGTAAATGTGGAATGGAAGAAGGCAGATGCGTGGGCTTAAGACCTGCAATAGGTAGAATGTGGAGGCTGCCTGGCTGTGGTTTGGGCAAATGGAGCAGATAGAGTGTGCAGTCCTATGCTTCAGATTCTATGCTACTGACTAAGAGATGTCTGTTTGCTGAAGTCTGTCCCTCCCTGGCTTGTCAAGTAAAGTTATGTGAATATTATAACACCATATTTAAAGAACAAGGATTCTGACCTTTAATTTTTACACTGGTCTTCTTATTCTTCTGAAATAGCAATGTCTTTGTTTCTCTCGGTGGGTTGTTACCTCCTTGGTTAATTTTTGTATCAAAGAGATAAGCCCTTTCTGTTTAGAGAACACCACTGTCTTTTATCTTGGGTTGTTCCCACAATATCTGGAATTGTTATGGCCTTTACCTTTCAGATGACAGATGTCAAGCTGGCCCAGTCCCGATCAGCAGTGATAAGGCCTTCCTTCTAGGGCTCCTTTTAAGCTTGTCTTCTGACACAATAGCAGTGGGATAATTTCTGTGCACACTCTAAACGGTTCTTATAAGGGAAACAGTGTAAAACTTTGTGCAGTGATAGTTCATGAACACTGTGAACCTGATAATCTTCTAAATGTGTATTCACTGGTCCATTCATTCACCAATCATCCTGTGAGCCTTAGAGCTAGTATCTGGAAATACCAAGAAAAATTGGTACTGCCCCTATCTTGACAGGCCACTGAAAGATTTATAATCAAGGATTCATTTCATCATACATATACCAAATTTTTCTTGAGCATTCAGTTTGGATCAAATATGTCTGGCACTGGTGTGACAGCGATGAACACATACTGACAAAGAACTTGTCCTCAAAGGTGGTTCATTCTGATGGAGGGAGATAGTATGTAGGGTGTTGATAGGTGCTCCAGAGGACGTGTTGTTTTGTACTTGCCCCTGTAGATAACGAAGCTGTGCTTGTCAGTTTAAATAGGAGGGGGTTTTATCAGACTGTTTTGGGAATGTGCAGGAGCCCTGGGGACAAGCTGATATGTTACAGTTAGGGGACAGTCCTCCTGCTTCAGCAAGAGTGTGATGGGACTGCTGCCCATTACAGAGCATGGGGTCTCTGCCACCACTGCTCCCCAGAAGGTCTGTCCACCCACTGAGAAGCTGGGCCCTGTGTCCTCCTGCCATACCTCTGCCTGGCAGAACTCTAGGTGAAAGATCCCTGGGAAATGTAGTTATGAACTTTCAGGCCTGGAGAGGGGAAGATTCTCTAGAAAGACAACTTATTCAAAGTCTATCTGTGGTTGACCCTCAATCCCCTTCTAATTACTTTCCTGTTCTTCCTCTGTTGGACCAGCTTCCTATAAGAAAAGTTACCACGGTATCTTTCTCACTCCCTTACCTTTCCACTATGCTTTCTTTGGCAATATCCAAGAAATGGTTTCTAGCTTGACAGATTCCACTAAACGCCCTCCTATCTTTCTCACAGAGCTTTACTGCTGCTCTTGCCAGTGCTGGACATCTTCACACCGCCACCCTCCTCTGGTCTAGATTAACCATGTACCTGTTTCCGTCTTTTGCTGTTGTCTCATGACTCTGACCCCACTACACATTCTCCCAAGTGAGGTCCTGTGGTCTCAACCACCACCTATAAAAACAAGAGCTGACATTTAATGTGCACTTACGTCTTTCAAGTGCCTTACTTTAAACCTCATATCAATTTCCTAGTGCCACTTGAATACATTACCACAAAGGTAGTAACTAACAACAATGCAAACTTGCTTTCTTACAGTTCTGGAGGGCAGATGCATAAAATCAAAGTGTTGCCAGGACAGCATTCATTCTGGAGGTTGTAGAGGAGAATCTGTCGCTTTCTCTAGCTTCTGGGGATTACCTGCTTTCCTCAACTCCTGAACGCTTCCTTCATTTTCAAGTTGCAACATGTTCCTTATCTCCACTCCCACTGTCACAGCTCTCACTCTCCTGTTTCCCTCTTGGAAAAGCTCTCGGCTTGTGTTGGTCACCCAGGTAATCCAGTGGAGTCTTTCTATCTGAAGATCCTCAACTTAATTGTATCTGCAATTTTGCCATTCAAGATAGGCATGAGTATGGATGGAAGAAGAGACAGGCATGTGCTTAAGACCTGAGATCAGAATGTAGGTTCTAACTGGCTGGGGCTTGGGAAAATGGAGCAGAGTGCCCCCTTGGGCACCTGCCAGCCCATCGTCCTGCCATCAACCTTGACCTTCTGCCACCTCTAAGTAATATATGTCAGAATGTTTTCCATTTCCTATAGAAAGGAAAATAAAACCTAAATGTGAATGCTAGAAGGGGCCTTGGAGGTGACCCAGGACAAACCCCTCGATTGATGTCTGAACTTTACTTTGGTACCTAAGAGAATCACGGGAAGAGCCCCACTCATTGTTACATTGGCTATTTAATTCTCATGTAGGGCTTGTCTAGAATTTTCATGTGTATTTGCTCCTTTCTTTGATGTGAGAATGTAATAGTTAAGACTAGAGTCCTTGACTATCTAAAATAGTGCTTAGACCCTGAAGTAGGCACAATAAACATTTGCTGGAAGAGGAATGAACAAGGTATAATCCATCAGGTTTGCTTCCTCCTAAAAGAATGATCTTGGCACAGAAACTTGGTTTGGAGGTTATTAGTCCATAATTCTTTTCCCTTATCCTTGTTGCAGAGACTAAATTCTACCAAATAATAACATTGCTTCAGAGCTCAAAATCACTATCATTACATTCCTATAAAAATATTACCTGATGACTACCCTATACTTATTAGGATGGTTACTATCAAACAAACAAAAAAGAACAAGTATTGCAAGGATGTGGAGAATTAGAACCCTTGTGCTCTGTTAGGAATATAAAATCATTCAGTTGCTATGGAAAATAATTTGGTGGTTCCTCAAAAAAGTAAAATTAGAAGTATCATGTGATTTAGCAATTGCAGTTCTGGGCATATATCCCAAAAAATTGAAAGCAGGGTTTCAAAAAATATTGGTACATTCATTTTGTACCAACCTTATTCAAAATAGCTAGAAGGTAGAGACTACCCTAGTGTCTATCAACATATGAATAAACAAAATATGATATATACATGCAATGGAATATTATTCAGTCTTTTAAAAAGGAAGGAAATGCCTATCACACGCATACGGGATTATATGCTAAGTGAATGAGCCAGTCACAAAAATACTAGATAGTTCCTATCTAGAGTAGTCAAAATAATAGATACAGAAAGTAGAATTTGTTGTTAGATGGAAAAGTTATGGGGAGTTGTTTAGTGGGTATAGAGTTTTGATTTCTCACAAATTTCTGTATCTTCACAACAATGTAAAACTGTTTAACACTACTAACTGTACATGTTATAATTAGTTGAGATGTTAGGACTTTTTTTTTTTTTTAACTACACTGACATTAACACTGAACTGTTAGAATAGTCCCATTTCATAATAAAGAAAGTAGAGCTCAAGGAAGTGAATTGCCCAATGCCCACAACTCAAAAATGGCATTCTCAGATCTCCTGATTCTATACCCAGTGCTGGTTTCTACCATGTCAGGGGAGAGGAAGTATTGAATTAACTTGTCTGCTACTTGAAATATAAAAATGAACCTTTGGCAATTTGTAGAGAAATCTGAAAATGTGTTTGTGTGGATGAGCGAGAAGGGAGAGGGAAAGAACTACCTCCCAGATACCTGCTTCTCGTTCACTTTCCTTCCCTTTCTAAATCTTCAGAAGGCAGGTGTGTGTCAACTATAAACATAGTGCGAAAAGGTCACCCAATATTTCCTCAGCTGGCAAAATCAGAACTGCTGTGGAGGTTGTCTGTATACATGAAAATAAGACCTTTAAGATGATCAGGAGATGATGGCTTTTGATTTTTTTAAATGACCCCATTAGATGTTCTCCCCCACTCTCTCTCCACCCCCTCCTACCTCATAGGAAGACAAAGAATGGTGGGCATTTATACAGGTTATACCTAATGAGAGAAAGGAAGAGGCAGAGAGAGGGACACTGAGTAGGAGCCAAGCCTAATACTACCTACCTACACCAACCCCCAGTATAGTCCTAGGCACATTCCTTCCTCTCTCCCAAGAGTTGGACTGCTGTTACTATCACCATTGTCATATACAGAATTTTAGTTGAATCTAAAGAGAAGAGCACAATTTCCCAAATGGAGTATGAAATACACAGAGATCATCTAGTCTTCTCCAAATAGCTTTTATTCATCATGGGCTTACTATGTGCCAGGCACAGTGATAGACACTCGTGGTAGCCCTGATCCTTTTACCACTTGACAACTTATTTTTAGGATGAGACTACCAAGTTTCCCAAAGTATTTGGCTAGATGAGAGAGCAGAGTGAAGATTTGAACATAGGCCTGTCTAGTTCCAAAGTTTGCTATTTTCTCTTTCGTGGTGTTAAGTTCAATAGCCAAAGAGCTATGGAGGCAGCAAAGAGACAGGGCAGAAATTAGTACTGCCTGGCATACCCAGGGGAAGTCTGAATAGAGAAAGCATGATCATACAAGCAAAGTCAGAGAGTACAAGGTTTGTAGCAAAACTGTAAAATAATCCTGTTTGGTTTAAGGATAGTTGTGTTTGTCTGGAACTGAAGGTCATGAGTCCACCATCTGTGAGGTCATAATTCCACAAAGAACCTTGAATGCTTAGGGGGTTAGAACTTAGTTTTATAAGCAGTAAGGGAGCTATCAAACATTTGTATCAAGGAGTTTATCAGCAGTTTGTTAATTCTATCTAAAGAATATCACAAAAGGAGACAATCAATTTCATTCCCTCTCATGTAGATAAATACCATTGACTGATAGTACCTGATGTGTTAGCAATGGTATTACCTTGACACTTGAACCCCTTAACATGCACAAGGAAGTCTGCTAATCATACTGCCTTTTCCCCTAGAATAATGACATGTATTTGTTTTCTTTTATCCTTTAGGAGGGGTTAATAAACTTCCAGGAACTTCGAGCCAGATTTCAGAACCTTGATGCACCATCTCTCCAAGGACCTATTAAATTCCCAGCAGGTATTTCTCAGAACCCAGGAAGCACAAAGTTGGCGAAGATTTGGGCCAATGGGAAACCCCTCTCATCCAGCCATAATCAGCCTGCATCCTATTGTACCAGCAGTGAACCCCAACATCTTAAACCCCAGAAAACAGAGGTGGTCCAGGGGAGCGAGGTTCAGAAATGCCCTAATTCCCCAGGACCTCCAGGAAGGACCACTGGCTCTCCAGTAAATTTGCAGAACAAGTCCCTAGTAATAGATGTGAATTCATCAGAAGCTGAGATAACCAAGAACAAAATAGCCAATAGCTTCAGAGACAAACTATGGAACTGGGAGAAGGTGTCATCGCAGAAGAGTGAGACGCCATCACCCTTTCTCCATTGTGGAAGGAGGGCCTTCCACCTGGAAGTGCAGACAAGTATGGGACTTCCTTCAGAGGAGCCCAGGAAAAGGCTGGAAATTAAACAAGCACAGACTCTTCCTTCACAGAGGCACTTGATGGCCCAAAGAAACACTCTGGCCCCTCCTGAAGATTCCACTTTTCTACTTTCTCAACATGGTAGGAGGAGCTTAGAAACCCTGCAGCCTAAGGGGAGGGAGCACCTCCAGCCCATCTATGAGAGTGAGCTTGCCTGCCAGGACCCAGGTAAGCGAGCTAATGCCCATAAGCTTAGTTCTCGTTTAGAGCTTGCCGACTTGGCATGACCACATATGTGATCTTTGTAATGTTTGCTCCAACCTTCAAAGCAGATTTCCTAGGCCCATCTGTTGAATTGTAATTTCAGATCTGGGTAAAGTGCTTCGTTTCCTGGAATCACACCAACAGACAATGGACAAAACCATATCTGAAAGCTAGTCCTGTTTCATACAAGATGCATGAACTCACAGACCCTCTGATTTCAGAGAGACTGTTCAGCTCTCCTATAAATCTGATCCATCCCGTCTTGCCTGTCTTGGTAAATCCACGGCCATCCTCCTGGTGCCCAATCCAAAAACAGAGCAGGGGCCCTGCTCTGTTCCTCCCCGCTCATTTTTGGCTTCTAACGTATCACAAGGCTGTTGCCTCTACAAGCAGTATGCCGACTCTCCCCTTTGCCTGTTTCTACCCTCTGCCCTGTTTACCAGCAGACTGTCACCCAGACTACTACAGGAGCCTCAGTGGTCACCCTGCTTCCACACTCCTGCCCGCTCCATCCTAGTCTCCAGCAGGCACCGAGATTGTCGAAACATAAATCACATCTCCCCTGCCCACCTGAACTCCAGTTAGCTGATAATGGATAGACCATGTGACTGGTCTATCATACTTCTCTTAGTCCCCCCTCTCAGAACATCGGCCTTCTTGCTGTGCCTTAGCTATACCAAGCTGCTTCCAGCCCAGGGCCTTGGCATCGACATACCCCTCTGCCTGAAACACTTGCTCCCTGGCCTTTGATGCGTCACCCTCTCACTTCATCAGTGTCTTTCTCTCCTGTCCAGTGTCACCAGCTCTGAGTGGACTTTGTGGGTCAGGCTATTTAAAAAACCCCTCCCCTCTTTACTATCTTCTTACATTGTTTTGGTTTTCTTTATGTCACTTATTCCCACCTGGTATATTGTTATGCATGTGTTTAACAGCAGTAAAATGTAAGTTACATAAACATGAAACCTTTCTTCTTTACCACCCTGTCACTGGCACCAAGGAGCAAAAGCCAGGCTTAACGATGGGTTGAATGGATGGGAGCATGGGGAAGTGTGTGGCCAGATCTCTTGATTACTATGCCACATGGTTTCTCTGTGCCCTTAGAAAAGCACCCAAACCACTTACTACTGGCTTCCTAGCTCTGTTCGTCTGGTCCCTGCTGTGCACTGACTTGTCTTTCTCTGGTTTACTAGCCCGTAGTCAACCAGGTTCTTGAGCAGACCTTGATACGCCATAGGGATCTATGCTTGCAGCTCCTCTCCCTGAAGTCCAGTGACACGTTCTCATATAATCCTCCCCTAACTTCCTCTTTCCAAGGACTACTTCCTTACCACAAACAGTTCATGCTTTTTCATGTCAAACTGTTGTCTTGCTTTCATAGAGCTCACAGAGCTCTGTAACTATACTGCTAGTTTGTTAATGTGTTTATTATCAGTCTGTGCTTACAGAATGATAATTCCTGAGGGCAGAAGTATATCTGTTCTTAGCGTTAACTCTGTCACCAGCTGCTAGGATAACAGAATAAGGCTTAGAATATTGTAGATAAATAGTTATTGAGGAATGGAAAGAAGATGTATGGGAGAAAGGACAGCTAGAAAGAAAGAAAAATGAATGAATTACCTACCTGATGAACTGTTAAGAGGATTAAATGAGATAAACTGTGTAAATTGACCAGTTCAAAGTCTGATAGAAATCTGGAACCCAGTTACTTAGTGTCATTTATTTTCACATTGTCATCTCCTTAGTTTGATAAAGATAGAACTTTCTGACAATGTGACTTGTAATTAAAGTCAAAGGCACTGGGAACCCCTGCTGGTCAAGCAAGGAAGAAACTCCATCCCTGCTTGCAGAGGACAGCAGAGCTTTGAGGCAGTGGCACAGAGGTATTTGTGAAATATTAGCCAAACTTCTTTACTTTTACTAGTGAAAGTGACTAAAGAAAATTCATCTAAATAAATTGGAAGCTGTAACTGACTTTATGAAGTGATTAGTGAATGGGCAGCTCTGCTTCCTCTAATAAACAGAAAGGGGAAGTATCTTGTAATCTAAAAGGTGAGCCAGTTATTAGGAAAAGAAGAGAAAGATAATTTCAGGCAAAGCTACTTACTTAGTGCTGACCAAATTCTAGTTGAGTGATTTAAACATTTCGTATGTTGGGAAGCCTGAAACTATATTTAACGTAGGTAGAAGGGCTTGATGGGGTTGGTGTAAATTACTTCATGTTGGGCCTATTGTTTTTTAGCATCATTGATTCAGCCACTCAGTCAAAAATCAAGGTACTTGGATTATTTAATATTTTGTATTACTTCCAGTGTAAGAGATGACGGTGACTTCATAGATAATACTGGAATTTGTGTTAGAGTTTCACTTAGGAATGCAGGTGGACAAAATGCATGGAATTGGGACTGTCCTGGCAAATTGCAGGACACAAGATTCAAAGATGCCTAGGCCAGATACCAACCACATAGTCAACTTGATGCCTGGCCCAGATGTGAGGCTGGGAAATCAGAGCCTCCTTGAGCCCTTGTTATTTACTCCATCATAAGTATTTGAAGAATGGCACTGTCCATGTCCTCTGAAGCAGACCCTGGGTTTGGTAGTGGAGATCAGTATGACTTACTTTGTGCTTACAAGAAGCCTACACTGAGTGAGAAGATAGACCAACCCTTCTAAAACCATTGCAGGATAGAGAGGTGTTAACAATGAGCTTCAGGGATACAAAGCAGCATGTTTGATGCTGGCCTTGGTTTCTGGTAGAAATCAAAGAAAGCTTCCTAGAGGAGTGTCCTGGAACAAGACCTTGAAAGATGACTCAAGTTTTGCCAAGGGAGAAGTGACACAGCAACATTCCAGGGCCAGGATTAGCATGAACAAAATCTTGACATATGATATATGAAAGCCTTGAGACTTTTAAAATCAAATCTAGAGGATTGAGAAACCAGTGATGTGAATAAAAGAGGTTTGGAATTAATGTCTGGAAAGTAGGATGGTTTGGCATGGTAAAAAAATAATAATAATAATCTGGAAGTGTAGAAAGGGCTGGTGGTGTTAAATGTGAAGCTGGAGGGAATGTCATCCTGCGTTACATCCTTGGCAGTGGGGAGGTGACAGCATCAGGCTTGCATCTCTAGGGGGCACTCTGGCTACTGGGTGGAAATAGTTTGGAGGGGAGTAAGACTGAAGTGAGGAAGTTGGCCTGTTTTATTAGACAAGCCAGAATGTGGAAATGACAAATACCTACATTATGGACTCTGTTCCTAGAAAAAAAGCCAGATACCAAGCATCACCAGCTTCCTAAAACTAAGCCACTGCCTTCCATTGAGTCCCTGGGTCCTCCTCCAAGAAAACCTCCAAAGCCCCCAGTCGTGGACCTCCAGGATTTCCAGAGGCTACCAGCTGCTGTCCCCAAGACCCACAGGGAAGGTAAGGGAATGTGTGGGGACCTGCACCCAATCAGCCAGAGAAGTCCCCGTGTCCTCCCTCCCCCACATCACCTCCTCCTCCCAGGTGGCAGAGCCGAGCGGCTTTTCATGGGGCTGGACATCCATCACTGCTTATTCTCATGCAGCCCCATGGCACCTTGCCTGTGAAGTGACAAATCTGTGGGAATTGGCCCCTTATCGCTCCTAGGCCAGACTGCTTCCCCTGAGAGCATTGCATTTGATCACTGGGAATCTGTCCAAGAGGAAGAAAACGAAAAAGTAGCTGAGCGGGGAGGCTGTGAGCCTTTGTGTTTCCCACAAAGCCTGTGCTGTCAATACAACCTGTGCGGGAGGTGGGCACAGGGGATGAAGGACGAGGAAAGTCAGTGTGAACTTGACCCGAGATCCTGTGGGGGACTCTCAGGACTCAGTGAGGAGTTGTAGGGCACCTCTGGCACCACTGATCCTTTCCAGGCACAGACGGCCTTGGGAACCAGTTTGTTGTGCTTCTCTGAGCTTTCCCCTTTCCTGGAAGCTGCCTCAGGCCCTGCACCCACGCCACCGGCTGAGCCTACTGCCGTCTTAAGCACCTTTATTTTGTTTGCTCAAGTGAAACCTGAGGTGACCATATATAGATGGTCGCAAATGTGGTCTTGATACATTCGGTGACTTTGGGCAACCTCCTGGCTCGATCCCTTTAACTCGGTGGTTCTCAGACTTAAGCAGGTTTCAGCATCACCTAATGGATTTGCAAAGAGCACATTGCTGGGCCTCATCCCGACAGTTGTGACAGTTGTGATTTATATGGTCTGGGTTTAGGACCTGAGAAATTGCCTTTTTAACAAGTTCCTGGGAGTACCAATGCTGCTATTCCGAGGACCACACGTTGAGAAGAACTGCCAGAAGTTGTCCAAAGCATTAGCCTAAAAGAATTCCACATAGAGAAATTGAGCCCTTACGAAAGAGTAGACCTCAATAGTACAACCACCTCCATATCAGAGAAGGCTAAATATGGCTTTTATAAATACTAAATAATGCAGGCCTCAGACTTGCTCTCTGAACAAAAGTTGCCAGAGATCCCAGAACAGCTAGATCTGTCTTCTGTAATTAGTTGGACATGGTCAGTCCTAGCTGCCCTTCTCACTAGTATTTAAATTTGGGCACGTTGCTCTCTCAGCCTTGTTTTTCTAATCCGTCAGTAGGGGTAACACTTACCTCACAGGAGTATTGGGCAGATGAATGAGATGAGGTAGGGGCAAAGTTTAAACAGAGCTTTACACACACGTGTGTGTCCAGTAAACTCAGTACTGCCTTTACTTCAAGCTTGCTTTGAACCACTCCACTGTTTGAAGAGCCCTGTGACAGACAAGGGAAATTAACGGAGTCCCACAGAGCCCCTCCAAAGAGCTCAAATTATAACACAAGGGTGCTCATAAATAGGCCATAAAGTGGTTGAGCGCTGCAAGGCAAGGGCAGGCAGGCCCCTGGGTGCCTGAGGCTCAGGCGACATGGGTCACGCACACTTGGTGTCCAGGGTCAGTGCACATACGTAACTCACTCATTGGGCTGTTGCTAATGCCTCTTTCTCACTCTGCCTCTTGCCCTTTCAGCTGCTGTGGAAGAGGGCCACCCGCCTCCAGGGAGGTGAGTACCTACCTGTTTCTTGGTTGTGTGGCTGTGCAGCTCTTCAGCATGACTTCACCTGCCCACGTGCATATTGCACAAGTCAAGCATGTGCATTTCTCAGAAGAATTGCAGGAGGAGCAGACTTATAAGCAACAACTGCAACTTTCGTTTTACATGAGATTAAATAAACCTCGGTTAACTAGTGCTATGCTGACATTATGTTGCAAAGATGGTTCTCTGAGGTACTTTTATTTATTACACTGTTAGTTTCAGTAAATTGAAACATCAGCTTCCACAGTATTAAATGGAATTGGAGGCTCTGGAGTGTGCTGGGCATTGGTGTGATGCCAGGGGTTGGTAATGGGACAAAGGATCTTCTATTTTTGTTGCACTCATTCTAAAAATCTGGCCACAGAAGTATCAGTTTGTTAACTCACTCGACCAAATACCCCCCTAGTGAGCCTTTTGATGTGTCATGCATCCAGCTGGCTATTTTATACAGATGTTCTTATTTCCTTTTCGCAAGAAGGCTGCAAAGTTGCTTCACTGCCCTCATTTTATGCTAAAGACTGTGGGTTCCGAATGTTTATCACTTGGGGAGCCACCATGCCAATCCATTTTGACACAGTTGGCATAGGATGTTAGTCTGAGGTGCGTGTTAGTGAGCTGTGTTTCTATATTGCAATGTGTATAAGAGTGGGCTCAGCTACCGCCTTTACCTCCTCACATACTATCATGTCTTGTTGAGAAAAGTTGAGATCTAGTCGCTTAGTCACTTTGAAATTTCCAGTAGCTTTTTTCTTCTTTTTACTTCAATCACTGTGTCCTACATTATATTTCTAGATCTACTATTTGCAAGTAGGTAGCTATAAAATTATCTTCCTCGATTCCTCCACTCCAAGTGACTGGTAACCATCATTCTATTACATTTTTATAAGTTCAATGTTTGTAGATTGTACATAAAAGTGGCATTAGACAGCATTTGTCTCTATCTTTTCTCACTTGAGATGTTTCTTGAGGACAGCATATTTATTGTCACAAGCGACTAGATTTTCTCCTTTCTGGTGATTGCATAATCATTCATTATATACATAGATGTATTGTCACATTTCTTTTATCCATTCATCCACTGGTAGGCACTTATCTTGTCAATAACCATATCTTGCTTATTGTAAATAATGCTGCAGTCAACAGGGATGTGAAGATAACTCTTCAAAATACAGCTTTAACTCCTTTGGATATATTCCCAGGAATCTATCCAGAATTTCTGGGTCATACAATCAATTTTTAATCCTTTGAGGAGCTGCTATGTTATTTTCTGTAATAGTTAGGTTTGTAGGTGTACCCAAACTCTGTTGAAGATACCACCTCCCCCTCTCACGAAGATGCTCCTATACTTAAGCTGAATCTTAGAAAATCAAACATAAAAACCAAGTCATGTTCTTAATTTATCAGTTGTTGAGAATAGTAAAGGATGTTCAGCTTTACAACTTAGAAAGTGCAAGACTCACTGCTTGCACAAATAAAGGAAGGAGTTCTTTTCCTATGGAAGATACACTGTTATTTAGCCCTGCAGCACTGCTACATAATGAACAACAAGCCTTCTGTGGCATGTGCCATCCGCGTGGGCTTCCCCTGACCTAGACTGTGTTCCACTGGGCTTGTTCACGTATTTGCAGTTGACTGGGGACCATCTGCTCAGCTCTGTGGTTATTATCAGAGTTTTTCACATGTCTGAGTCAGCTTGCAGGTAGCTGATGGAGGGTTGCCTTGGCTGGGGATGAGCATGGCAACCTGACTTACCTAGCACACCTATCATCTAGCAAGTTAGCCCAGGAAGCTCCCAGCACTCACAGCAGAGAAGTGAGGCAAACCCAACTGCACAAGCCCATTTCAAGCTTCATATTTGTTGCTACTCAGAGCAAGTGATGTGGCCAAAGCAAGTCAGAAGAAGAGGGCACTGAAAACTTACCCAGCAAGTGGGAGGGATCCAGGAAAGGGTAAAGAATAGGAGCACTAATCCAATCAACCTGACACTGAAGAGGAAACACTTGAAATAAGTATTGAGGATAAACATTTGCTGTATAACGTGACAAGCGGCACAGGTGACTTACCTACGGAAACTGGAAATAAGTAGAATATAGAAAGTATAGTAAAAGTTAGAAATGAAATTGTATGATAATACATCCCGTTAACTACAGGGATATGTTCTGAGAAGTGTTAGGTGATTTCATTACTGTACAAACATTATAGAACATGATTATAGACATCCAGAAAGCACATCCTCTGTGTTGTATATAGGGACTGCCTTGTTATATGCAGTCTGTCATGGGCTAGAGTGTCATTGTGTAGCATGTTAGTTTATAAGCAGGCAGGAACCAGAATATAGAGAATCTGTATACCAAGGAAGGAGAAAGATGATCTTGTTCAACAGGAACTGATATGTGATGCTCAGCGCCATTCATATGTGTAGGAACTCCTTATTCAGTTGTCCATTCTTCTTACCCATTTGAAAGAGTGGAATGACAGCATGACGTAGTTAAATGGAGTCACATTCAGTGTGCATTTCTGTGAAAGATAAATTTTAGACAGCTCAGCTCTGAGCTGTACTATGGACTCAGCATCATTCCCAGGGGCAGTTTGCAGGGACAGTGTGTACTTTGATCATGTCTTGAGGTTCCCTGGTGCTTGGCATAGAATGGGCATCTCAGTGCACGTGTGAGTATGCTCTGATCATGGTGTTTAGCTGGGTTTGTAGTCTTCCTGCCTCTTGACTCTAATTAGATGACTTCTTTGGCACTTCAACCAAAGAAACAGTAATTCATTTGAATACGGGGCACAGACATGGCATGATGCGCAAGTTGAGGAGGCAGTAGTCAGACTATACTGAGACATCTTTTCCCTCAGAGATTTACCAGGATAATTTGACAATTCTGTTCTAGTGCACAGACTTTAGAATCAAGCTGCCCTCTGAAATGAGTTTGACTATACCTCCTGGATTTAGGTCTTAGTGCAATAGACATTATCTTTACTACTTCTTTACATGGCAGTCCTGAGGCCATCTAAAGTCATCTAAGGACTATATTCTTCTCTAAACTAAAAATCTCATTATCTGCTCATTTTTCATAAAGCAGGAATTTCTGTGTTTGTTATATTTCTGTGGCTAAACATATTGTCAAGAATTGAGCATATTTGTAATAGACATTTCATTTGGGAGCTTCTTACTGTGTGCATTGAATGGGAGAAGCTGCACTGTGTAGTGCAGGTCTGGAATCAGATCAGCGCAAGCTCAAATCCTTCCTTTATACCTTAGCCAGACACCTAACAGTTTGGAATCTAGATATAGGATCAATAAAGTCGACACAATACTTACTTCATTATTTGGAATGAAGACTAAATGAACTACATTGTATAAAGCATGGAGTACCCAGAAGATGTTCAATAAGTCTTAGCTCCTCCAACCATTGGCCTCTTTGTTCCTTGTTATCTCTGAAATATTAATATCTCATTAGTCTCCAACAGTGAAATGATTCTTTGGAGATTATTCTGTCATCACTCTTTCATGTAAACTAAGTTGGCTGGCATCCCTCTTGAATAAGCAGCCTCTATTTGTGTGAGCCAAGCAGGTTATCCCAGGGCACAGTCATCCCTGGGTCTCTGTCATTACTTAGCAGAGTTGGCTGATATTTTATTCATTAGCTATAAATATGGCTTTTCTCCCATTAAGTAGTGGCAGAGGGTATTCCTGACTCAGGCAATCTCTCCCTCAGACACTGGTGCCTCAGACAAGAAAGAGGTTGTTTATTTCAGAAATAGAAAATGTTCAGAAAGCACAGTGTCTCTTAGATGAGGATCTGTGGGTGGATCCCAGGAGGCTACCATTTTCTCTCCTGTACTTTTAAATTTTGTGTGTTTATTTGATGATAGCCTGTAAGAGCTAACAGAAGCCCATTTTGAGACGTCTGGGTCACCTCTTTGAATCTAATACTTTGGGACATGCTCTGATGTTTCTGTTTTTTTTCCTGAATGGCTATGTTGTAGGTCATTGATAGACCTGTTCTGATTGACCATCAGTCAAGTAGACTCTTCATGATGCTATCTGGGAGATGTGGGCTCTGAGATCCTCATGTGCTGAAGTGAATCACTACTGGCAAAAATAAAGAATAGGAAATTTTTTGAAGCCTGTGCCTTTAAGTTTTAGACCCACAACATTCATTTGGCTTCAGCTCAAGCCACTTCAATAAATTCTTATTATCCCCTTTTAATTGGACTTCAGGGACACAAGGCCAATGTTTGTCTGCTTTTCACAAGGGCAGTGCTGTCAGGAATCATAGATTGGCTAGGGTTTTTCCTTTAGAATTTTCTCTTCCTTTAGAGAGAATTCATTTATGCACTTTCCATAGACAAGGCTGTGTACCCTGTATTTATGCCTGCTCCCTCACTTTAGAAGTCCCAGCCACAGCCACCCCACGAAGCAGGTGGTTCATAGGCAGTCTAACCACCAGTCAGGTGAAGTAAATGAGGTTGCAACTGGACCACAGTATTGGGGGAAACTGGTCAGCTTACTCCAGGACATAGTTGCACCCACCATCCCAGGCTGCCTCACAAGCAGTCACATGGGGTTTTAATTCACAAGGTGGTAGGGGTTATATCCTCACGGTCTGCTCTATAACTGAGGGTGGACTTTGTCCAGCCAGGTGTTTCTGAATGCTTGTGTGAGGATTTCATTTTCTGTCTGCAGAAAGACAGAAAGGTGTAAGGGAAGGTGGAGCAAAAATGTGAAAGCCTTTAGGGCCAAGTTTGGCTTTTCTCTTTAGAGGCATTTAGATGATTAAGCTAGAAAATATCGACTTAAGGACTCATCAATGCCAGGTTGCAGACCTACAGCCTATTTTTGTACATAGGTATATTCAGGAAAGGTGAGTGAAATGAAGCTGTGTTTGGCCATGGGTAGCACAAATCTTTCTGATTATCTGACATCATTCATTCATTTCTGACAAAAGGATTCCAAGGAATTGATTTGAGATTTCAGTTTTCCCACAGCTGGTTTTTAATTAATCATTTTCTCTCTTTCACTCTCATGTTGTCCCCATGGCCAGCATGAATACTCCCACTTGTGGGAGAGAAACCGAGAGCTCAGCGACTCGCATGACTTGCCTAGAGCTCAAGCTAATACAGTTTATACAGGATGTGCCTGTTGGTAAAGATGTTCAGCTACACTATCTTATCTCAGGATTTTTCCAACATGAGGTTTTTTGTAGATAAATACCATGTGGGAAGAGATCATCTGTTTCTGCTTTTGCTTTTTTAACCTTTGTTTCCCTGGAAAATAGCAAGCATTTATTTAATGACTTAAGGAAAGAACTGATAAATAGATCACTGAGGCGATATATATAAAGCTACCTTGTTAGCTTCATATATATATATATATATATATATATATATTTCAAGAGGCTGTTATCTATATTTTACATTTGTATATCTAATAGCATATCCTTCTGGTGTTGAATAAAGCTAAGTAACAGGACAACCTGAGCTCCTCTCTCGCCCTGCAGATCATGTAAGGCTGCTGCCAGGGGGGGACACAAGAACTCACCTGGAATCCATCGTTCCTCTGCTGCTCCTCAGTCCAGTGTCCAACTCCAAGGGACATTCCATCAGGAAATTTATCCTGGTGTCCTTAGCCCTGCTGGAAGGTGCTCGCTTCTCCTTTCCTCCTCATGTAAGCCCATCCATTAAACTATGACTTACATATTTATTTATTTAATCAAACAAATCCTTGAACCATAGCCTTCATTTTAAATTCAGAATAAAATGTAAGGATCCTAAACTTTTTACCATGATCATGGAGATGCTCTAAGTCTGGCTACTGTTCATCTCCCAGATTCTTTTCCTAATTCCCTCTCATTGTTCATGGACTGACTTCTGCCTTCTCTTCATGAGAACCAGGATGTTCTCACCAAGCAAAAATAGTTGCTTTTTTCCTTTGTACAGGGTGGTTTTCTTCAGGATCTTACCTGGTGATTCTTTCTCATCACTCGCCATCCTTCCCACCCCATAATGTTGGAGATTTCATCAAAAAACATAATTTATTATGTAATTCTTAAATTCTAGAGGTATTTCCTTAAGAAAACTAGAAAATAAAAAAGGGGGATATTACAAAAGAATGAAAAGAACCTTCCAAAATTCCAATCTGAAAAGTAACTTAAAAATACTGTCATTATTTAAAAAAATATACTATCATTATTTCTGTCCTCTACTATAGTATTACTAGCCCAATTTTATGAAATCATTTGTACAAATGGAAAATAAATCATTCAATATCTAGAGTATACTTAAAGTAGATCTTATTTCTGTTTTATAGAGTAAAATTTGCAAAGGAAACTGAGGATTAAGATATTTATCCAATACTGGTAAAAGCAAAAGAGATAGGATTCAAATTCAAGTCTGTCTGACCCCAAAATCCAACTCTGTCTGTAATTCCATGCTGCCCCTTAGTAATGTCTACAGTACTAGAGAGAGATTCGAGACAGATATTTTAATAAATGTGGAAGCAAAGGAATTGAAGCATAGATGTATTTGGATCATAGCGTTATTTCATCCCTGCAATCCAAGTTCTCTCTATTCACCCACACTATACTAATTCAAGGTAAATCTCAGATCTGCTTTTAATGGACCAAGAAAAAAGATAAAAGACATTCTCAGGTGGCAAAAAGGAAAATTTAAATACATCAGTGTTATCCTTTACTCCTGTAACATTAATCCTGGGACTGCTTTTCTACAAAGACAGTTGATCTGAAACATGGCACCTTTTACATTCTGTTGAAAATCTTTCTGATCATCTAATGTCAGATAAGTTTATTCATTTCTGACAATAGCAGTCCAAGAAATTGATTAGACCTCTTCTTTCAATTTTTCCACAAATTGTTTCTTATTAATAAAGTTAATTTACCATAGACCCGAGGAGACGGTTGGGCCACTGAAGCATGGGCTACATGGAATAGTTCATAATTTAAGAAAGTTCCTCTCAATTACTCCCTGCAGGGGGTAGGGAGCAAAATAATGAAAGGAGAAATTATCGATGCATAAGAGTTCATAATTCTTCCTTTACAGCAAAACGAACTATCCAGACATCTTTAAAAATATTAGAGTAAATGAAGGGAAAAACTTCAAAATATCTAAAATGATCAAAGGAGAGAAAATAATTGGATGTAACATGTTTATGATATAATAATAAATGGAAGGGGTAGGATTGTAACTTTTGCACTGTCTATAACAATTATATGTTTATAAATGGGAAAAATCAGGAAAAACACCAAAATACTAAGATCAAAAATACTAAGATCTCGGTTTTGTCTGATAATGAAATAGTGATTCGTTATGGATACAGCTGGAGTGTCCTTCATTTCACTCCCCAGTTTAATTTTTTTCTCCCTCCCCGGGAGCAACTCCTATGAATGAAGGAGTGTCTCCATTTGGTGTATTTCTGAAACTTTAGCTTCCAACTCCTATGTATTAAACAGCACTTACAGTTTTGTAAAAATGACATTCTTTTGCATCTTCATTTTTTCCAAGCTAGATTTTCTGTTCTATCACTGTTGATGCATGTACACCTGGTTTGTTCACTTTATTACAATTATATTTTACCGTGTGAACATATCACGGTCTCCTCATATTTTCTTGCTGAAGGAAATGGAGGGTTTTTTGTTTTGTTTTTTTTAAGTTCTACCTTGCAAATGATGCTGCACATACTTACCAATGACTATCACCTGAGGTTTTCACTGAGAATTGTGAACCACAGTAAATAAACAACTTCAGTTTTACCAGATTTTTGAAAAGTTACCTCCACAATGGATATTCTCAAATCAGTATAAAGTTGTTTCTCCACATTCTTTCCAAGTGAGGTAATGGGTTCCAGACAAACTGATAAGTGTGAACCAAATTTTCATTGTCTTTATTTCATTTCCCTGTTTACTGTGAGGTCACAAGGTAACTTCTATGAGCTATTCAATTTTTCTTTTCCATGATATCAATCATACCCTTTTGTCCAATTTTCTATATTTGTCTTTTTCCTATTACAGGAAAGGTTTCCCAAGGTTTTAAATATTGACTCTATATTACATTTTACCATTAAGTGTGATACTATTACAGATTAATCTCATTAAGAGAGTTTGTGGTTTGGTTTTTTTTTTTGCATCTCATAAAATCATCTTTTTTCCCCCTTCTCATTGTTTCAATGAAATTACTGCAATAATATTTTCACATGTTGAACTATTCTTGAAGCCTTGCATTAGAGTTGTTATATAATGATTCTCTATTTTTAGTATTTTGTTTGGGAAGTTCCCACTATAATCCCTTAAGTAAATATGTTCTACCTTGGTCTTTTTGTGGTTTACATATCAAAATTAATTATCATCCTAAACTGAGTGGGGTGCTTCTTTTTCTATTCTCTGAAGCTTAAGCTAAAACATACCCATTAAATTATTTAGAGGAGGAAAGGGAAGAGAGATGGGTTGATTTGAAAGTGGGTAGGAGGGAAGTGGGTTTTGGTGTCATTGTAATAGTCATGTCCCTCTTAGTTTTAGAAAACTCTTAACTATTTTCATTTGACTATTTACCCCTTTTCGTCATCTGCTTCCTTTTTCCTTTTATAATCCTGTGTCTGTTTGCATACAAACACATTATACCTTCTGATTCTGTCCTTCCTACTGTTAATTTCTCAATACTTTCCAACTCTTAATCTGTCTGCCTATTTTTCAACCTCTATATTAATTTACTCTAAGAGCTCTATGATTTAAGTAATTCCTTTGTCCTCTCCTTAAATCTGCGTGTTCTTTCACTCACACACTCTAACTTAATGGTTTCTTTTCTTTCTTTGAAAGCACTTAAAATTTATCTTATTGTCACTTTTGTGAGTTTTTCGTGACATTTAATTCTCCTGCTAGTCTGTAGCAGGAACCATGGTATACAAGGTCCATCTCCTTGTGCTGTTTTGTTTGTTTTGAATTGGAAAGATTCCCTTAGAAAACCATAGGTGTCCGGGTTGTAGACGAGGCTTGACAGATGATTTCAGATTTGTGTTACTGGGCAATGTGGCACCAGTTTTGACTTTGTTTCGTTCAATACACAGATGGTGCGTGTCTAGAAGCCACCCCACTTTGGTGCTGGGGTTTTTGTTTATGACTTCCCTTTCAGTTCCAGTGGCCTGAGACACATAGTAAGTTTCCTTGTACCAGAGGAACATACTTTTTAGAATTTGTGTTGCTTGTGTGCTAGTGTTTTGTGACACTGTAGTTTACACTGATAGCTTCCCACTGCCACAGCCCGCTTTCCTAATCAGGTAGGCCTGTACCTGAGATTTAATGTCTGACTCATACATTTAGTCCCCAGCTACCTAATCAAGATCTTTCTTTATCTGGCTACAATTTGCCTTTGGGTTTTTGAGCTGCAATTCCCACTGACATGTTCACCTGTAAGTTTCCTCTCTATACCTGACACCCAGAGATTTCGAGTTTTAGGCGAGTTACATTTTCTTTGTCTAACTCTTTGCCTTGTTATATTTCATCCAAAATCCCCATATTTAAAGTAGGGGTGTGCCTTGGCCACTGTACTGACAGAACTACTACTTCTCTAATAAGGAAAAAAGTACAAAAAGTTTTAAGATGTTTAAAGATATGTTTTATTTTAAGTAACCTTTTTTTCTCCTTCCATGCTTCTTAGTGCTGAATTTGAAGAACCACATAATTATGAGGCCACAATTTCATATCTGAGACACTCTGGCAACTCCATTAACCTGTGCTCTGCAAAAGAAATTGCTGATTGTAAGTCTGCTAAGCCAATTAATATTGTATCCCCAAGTGGAATGAAAATGTGTCAAAAATGGTATTTCCCTCTAGCTAACTATAGGTTTAAAAAGTCACCACCATGCTGCCCTACCATCTCTTTTCTCTTCTTGCCTTGTCTGGTTCCATAAATAAATCCCGTTGTGCATCAACACTATCTCAGCTCCTCGTGCTGGCTTCTCTCTGCCTTTTCTCTTCTCTCCTCCCCCTGTCTACTTAGATGCTTTGCCTTGTGTAGATATGTGAGAGGGAAAAATCAAGATACAGTTATTCATTTTTCTTCCTTCTCCTCCTGTAGAAACTTCATTTTTCTTCTCATGGTGTCTTTCTTGAAGTTCCCTGGTAACTCCATATGTGGAGAGGGAGATAACAAAGCATGAGAATTAGGTCCCTGTGTTGAGCCTGAGTAGGAGCAGAGGATTCATTTAGTAGATCTGACCACTGGTTCAAAGCTAAGGCTTCCTGCTGCTACTATTGCCGATGAAGCCTAGACCTTTTGGTGAATAAAAGAGACCCTGTCAGGTAAGGAGATGAAGCAGGCCTTAAAGCTTTTCTCCAATTTCTGTGTCTTTACTCTGCCTATCAGATGAGCCAGTTTTCCAGAAAAGGCATGAATATTAGTGCTAGAATAAGTGCTTGTATTTGACTGTGCCTGTTTCATGGCACAGTAGGGCATACCTGCCAGTAGGGCAATTTCATTATTCACCCACCTTCACAGAAAAGAAACTGACAGTGAAAGATTGACAGTCACACAAGTCATACATGTTAGGCTGGGGCTGCCACTAAGATTCATGCTCTTTTCACAATTTTATGCTGTTCAACATTCAAGGATGTTTTGAACACCCTGGAAGGAGGGTTAGAGAGATCATTTGGCCCAAACTCTGTTGCACAAACAGGGAACCTAAAGCTCCGGGGGAGAAAGTAATTTGCCTGGGAATGTAAATTTGGGAAGATTGTGAAGTTAAGACCCGTTATAATTACTCTCCCCTTGCCCAGGAAATAAGGGGTTAAAGAACTACTGGAAAAACCCTCACTTCTGGACTGGGCAGTTCAAACCTCCCATGTGATTTGTAAAGTACTAAAGAGTACATAAAGAGTAATGCCTGCCTCTTGTCACCCCCATAAGGCAATACAGTTTCATACTAAGGTGTCTGGGCCTCCGGCATTAGAGCATACTTCTCAGATTCTAACAGTCAAATGAATCACCTAGATTCTTGTGCTTTGTCCCTGGGTGAAGCATGAGGTCCTGCATTTCTCACAAGTTCCCTGCTGCTCCTGCCCCCACTATGAGGAAAGCTCACAGTGAGTGAAAGGACGCAGGCTACACATAGGCAGAACACTGCATGCCTTTCTGCAGAGCTAAGGGCTCACAAGCCAAAGGGATGTCCCAATCAGAACTGGCACCTTCTCCCACTTGCCTATTTGAGGTCCCAGAATTCCCTTCACACAGGTGGCTGTCCAAGGTATTTCCCTAGTCTTTCCTCCTCAGTACAGGTAGTGTTGCAGGAAGAGTATAGCCACGAAGGACGTGTGGACAGGGTTTGCATATAGGCAAGGTCTCCTGTGGTTCAGAGTGAAGATGGGATTTAAATTGGGAAGTTGGACCAGAGGTCTGTATTCATTCTCTCCAGGATACATATGCTCTGTTATGCCAGGAACACTGAGTTACTCAGAAAAGGAACAATTAGCCCAGGCATCTCTTCAGTGTTTCACTGAGAGTATCTCATTGTCATGGACAGTGCTGCTAAAAAAGCAAATGGTTGTAAATAAAAAGAGAAAGGGCTCAGAAAACTGGTAACAAAACACAGAGCAATAGAAAGGGGAGTAGGGTAGAAGATCAGGGAGGTTGGTGTAGGCATCACACCACCAGAGAGGGTATCCCTATAGGAGACAGGAACACATTGGCCGGGGTCTATGAAACTGGGTACAGCAGGCAGGGATGCCCTGCACTCTGCTCTGGTCCCCAGTTGTGTTCCTGTTCTCTAAGGAGCAAAGACCCTACAGGATGGGAGGGTGTGGGCTCTTTTACCCCACCTGCCCAGGTCTATTTAAGCCTTCCCCAGTTTCTTCTGTCCTCCTTCACACCATGCTGACTGATGGGTATCTGAACCTGTTTCCTCATCATGGGTATAATCTCTGTGGCATTATTCAGAAAAGAACTCTGCTTAAGGGCGGACAGAAGAAATCTACTTTTCCCTATTTTCCTGCTAAGTATAACTTAATACCTTTAGATATTACATATGAAACAAATCCAAGACAACCAGAAAACTGCTAAGGCAGACAGAAGGTAAACCAGGTAGGGATCTCAGGACCCAAGTATGGATAGCTGGGGAAGTCCCTGGACAATGAGCAACAAAGCTCCCGTGAAAGCCTGCTTTTCTCTAGCCTAAGCATCAGGAAAATAGGAAGCTGAACAAACAGAAATCCTCTAGACAATAATCACTCCAGGAAATATCACAGAAAAAAACATGATCCCACCCCACTAACCAGTGCTGAGTAAAGGAGCCCAGGCTTACCCTTCCTCAGGCTGCAATGCAGCACCCCCCTGTCTCCCCTTCTTCCCCAGTAGTGGGGGCAGAGCCAAGAAGGCAGCTAGAACTTAGCCCTGCCAGGGTTAACAAATCCTACCTTTAGTGAGGTCTATGAGGACTGCACGGGTAAAATGTCACTTAAAGAAATGATTTCAAGCCTGAAGAAAATGTGAAACCATTTCATAATGGAGCAGCCTTGAGCAAGTTACTTCACTTTCTGGTTATCTGCTTTTGCATCAGTAAAGCTGGAATATAGTAGTAATCAACATGCAAATTAAATGAATTGCATTTGAACATTTAGCACTGGTACCTCTATGTGCAAGTGCGGAAAATGTCAGCTGCTTTTTGTTGTCGGGTAGAATTTTTTTTTTTTAAGATTTATTTATTTGTACATACAGAACTGGGGTACAGGCCAGAGGCTCAGGGGAGGCGAGAGGGTTCACCAGAGACAGAGTGGGGAACAGAACAGGCAGATCGACAAAGTACACTGCTGAGGGGAGCAGCAGGCGGGTCAGGAGAGGTCTGCCGCGCCATGTGGTCACCTCCGGGGCAGGCGGGGATCGAACTCATGCGGAAGTGGCTTTAGCTTCTCAGTGCTGTGCTTTAACCCGCTGCGCCACCAGGGAGGGCCCTGTCGGTAGAATTTTAACAATCATCTCACCTGGTGTAAAAGAGGTGATGGGATATGTTCAGGTCACATGGGGTGCTGATGCAGAAAGTACTGAGTGTCTGAAAGGTGTGAGTATGTTATGGTAGTAGCAGTTGGAATGCTAAGGCCCATATTCTGATATGTAGCCTTCTTCTCCCACCTGGGATGAAGCTGCTCAGTGGACTCTGGAACTCCATAAACTAGTGAGCGAAAGCTCCAGTTCTGTAGGTTCTCCAGTCCCCTCACACAAACACACACAAATGAGACTTTCCAAGTCCCTCTCTGACCCCTTTGAATATAGCCCTTTTTACTTCTTTCTACGTTGGGAGCACCTTTCGATGGAGCGGGCTTGTTGGCAGACCTGTACTTTGTTAAAAAGCAGTATCAGATTATGAATGGCCATTACTGATTACATCTTTATCTACAAGCCTTGGCAAGTAATGTTTCTTTGTGCCTTGATTTCCCCGTTTGGAGGGCAGAATAATCCTCTTTGTTCCCTCCCCAGAAGGCAAGGAAGAGCTAAGACATCATCACTTACTTGTTAATTCTTTGACACATAGAAAATGGTTGGTACATTTTTGGGGAGGTGGGGGAGATGATCACACCCATTTGGAGGGATACCTGAAACAGACTTGGGGCAAGTGGTATGATAAGCATATATTTTGAATGAATGAATAGCTAAACAAAGTTTCTAAAGCAAATAACAGGCTAAAATGCTCTGATTCAAATATTGGTTAAAACAAAAGTGTAGTTACCAAGTTGAAGTACATATTTTTAATCATCCATGCAGCATTTTAGCTCTGTATGGCAACCATGATCAAAATTGGACAGTCCCTGAATGAAACCTAGGATTCTGTGCACTTTATCAATGTTTAGAAGAATAATGCTTAGACAATACAGCAGCCAGAAGGTCAGTATTTAGGACCAAACCCACAGGACTCCCTCTTGCAGCAAGAAAGAGAAAATAGATTGGGGAGTCCACTTATACATGCATATTCACTCCTGGTAGAGGGGAAGCTTCCACAGGTAACATTTAAGCAAAGAGAGGTCAAATTTGCAATTCTCTAAAACACGTCTGTACTTTGCAGCTGTCTATTATGCTCTTGTATCTTCTCCTTTAATCTCCACATGAACTCTGTAAGGCAAGTATCAGTTAACCACATTTCTCAGATAAGCAACCCAGAGCTCAAAGAATTGAATGTCTGTTATCCTACAGATAGAGGCAGGACTGAGCTTTGAACCTACATTCTTGCCACCATTTGTGTTAGTTAATAATTAAAGTTGTATTGTAGCACTTACTAAAATCCACAGAACTATCAGATAAAAAGGTATGTGAGGCCCTCCCTGGTGGCGCAGAGGGTTAAGGCACAGCACAAAGAAGCTTAAACCACTTCCGCATGAGTTTGATCCCCGCCTGCCCCGGAGGTGACCACATGGCGCGGCAGACCTCTCCTGACCCGCCCGCTGCTCCCCTCAGCAGTGTACTTCGTCGATCTGCCTGTTCTGTACCCCACTCTGTCTCTGGTGAATCCTCTCACCCTCTGTATCTCTGACCTGTACCCCAGTTGTGTACAAATAAATCTTAAAAAAAAAAAAAAAAAAAAAAGGTATGTGAGCGAGAGTTGTTGGAAGTATTTTTTCAAGATATTTTGAAGGGAATAAAGTTCTCACAGAAACAAGCATTTGTGTGTTCATCTTTCAAAATAGGCTTTCGGCTTTTGGATTTTGAGTTTACTTGTTATTGCTACCCTGATTCCTGGGCTTTCTCTTAACTATGAAGAATGCATGTATTTAGCAAAATGAGAAACTGAAAATTTTTTCATGTTTCACTTACTGTACATTCTACCCTGGAAATCCCCACAGAAATTAAAACCTTGGTCACTGACTAAGAATTTCCCTAACCTCATAGTCAAAGCCTCTCACAGATCAAAATTGGAGAAGACTGAATTCTGCAATTTTGCATAATTGATTAATTCTGAGTGCTGTGATAAATGCATGGATAAAGCTGCCTTGAAATAACTTTCTTCCTATTTATTTCAGCAACTTATGAAGTTGGAATTGAAGAACTCAAAAAGGTATTGTTTATTTCTTCTTACAAGCTCTCTAACTAGGTGTGCAGGGTTGATTCCAAAACAGTTTCTTTTAGGAGAGAAAGGTGTATTTGGTTTTCCCCTGATGTCTGAGGCTTTTCTAGAAACCAGCTGCTAAGACTGAGCCCTGGTATATCTGAGACAGAAAATGAGTAAGGCGAAGGGGAAAGGTGGACCTAGTCTGTCGCCAGCTTCTTATCTAAGGTGGCCAGCACCAACTGGCCTGTAATAACTGTCCCTTTAGGCAGAAAAGTTATTTGGCACAAACCAAATTTATCTATTTTGTGCTTTCAAGAACAGCATGTCTTCCAAGCTCACTGCTGGCAGGATGCTGGGAGTCTCCTAGCAAGTGATGGGGCAGCTCAGTTAGGGTCCAGCAGAATCACTGCTGGCCTCAATCCAGTTTCTAGCTGTGTCATCTTGCATCTCCATTTCCTCATCTGTAAAATGGAGATAATAGACACAGCCACATCTGAAGGCATTGTGGGAATGAAAATAAGAACAAATAAGCAGTTTAATAATAAGTGCCTTAAATCTGTTCTATAGTTACCTCTCTGAGCTTCTGCTGGGTCTTCTGTAAAATGGTATATCCTCCATGAAGGCAGAGGCACATGCATTGTGATTACTGTTCCATAGCAGACGCTCCACAAATAAAGGCTCTATGTTTCACAGAATGGCTGAGAGAACTAAGTCAAACTATGTAAGCATCTAGGTTAGCACCTGGCACATAGCACTCCTTCCTGCTGTAGTGGACACAGTGAAGCTTCTCTTTTCTCACTGGGTCTTGACTGTTGGCTTTAGTTTTCTTAGACTTACTGGAAAAGATTGTTGATAGATGGATACACTATCTAAAAAACAAACTGCAAATGATAATTATTAACAAAAGCAGAATATTGTTAAAATGCTTCACTTACCAGGAAATATCAGTGAAGAATAAACTTCCTGTATAAGTGAACTTTCCAAATAGCCAGACTTTATCCCATTCAAAAGTGGAAAAGCCTAACAGTCTTATTATCACTAAGTTGTTTATTAGCCTTTAGACATATGTGATGTGCATCTCAGTGTTCTCAGGCTGGTGGGGGACTTGCAGCACCCTGGAACACAGGTGCCAGGGGGCCACAGCTGCTCTTGCTGAGATTCTCTTGCGTCCTTGTAGAGGTTCAGAGTTATTTGCCTTTACACCAAACTACCCCTAATTTGTTTGCAGTAATTGCTTTCTCTTTTCTGACAATGATCGTTCCTTTCTGCTGCCAATATCGTTGTGCCCAGCAGTAAGCGTCACCCTCCCAGTCGCTGTTCTGTGCCAGGCACTTCGAGGTACATGGACGCTCACAGTCCTCAGCTTCCCCAGTGACCTCTTACCCCTGCTTCCATTTTGCATGTGAGGCTTAGAGAGTTAAAATAACCTATAAATCATGCAGCAGAGATGAAATGAGTACCACCTGACTTGTCATGCTACCAGTGCTGCTATCCCACTTGCTAGAATTTTATGGAAAGGAAGTCAGTTGTTACCAAATGCAGGCCTTTCCTGGAGGAGACAGTATGAACTAAAATAGGCCTGGGGCAGCATTTAGGATGCTTAGATGTTTTCTGCTTGCTTCAGGCACCTTGGCTAGTAGATTCCAAACCCCCAAATGGCTCTAGATAGGTGACGACTGAATAAAGGAGGGCCTGTGTTGTGGTTACTTGGACGTAATATAATGGAGCCAAATGTAACTCCAGGGCACGTGGTTTTTGACTGGAGTGCTCATGATCAGTAAAAGAGCAGTCCTAGCATGACTTGTACTGTGGAATATGCCAATTTTGCCCCCCGACACCTACTCAGATATCACAGATTCTTATTTTCTCTTCTGATTTAAAAGTTCAGTGTTCTGCTGATGCATTCCTGGAAAGGCCTTTGGAGAACAATTTACTCAGAATAAGTCAAAGCAAACACTCCTCTGGCATGCACTGACTTCAGGAACACATGTTTTCTTCTTGGACTGAGCTTCAGCTCCACAGGCAACAGCTCATGGAACTCTGCATTGTCTGTCCACTGTCACTGGTACTGAGTCCTTTGGGTTAAATCTCCAAAGATCTGCAACCAGACAGAAGCCTCATGTGGGTTGGCAAATGGAAGTGACCATGTTTCTTTTTACTTTCAGCCTTGGAAGAGTTTCCTCCACCAAGAACTTAGGTGAGTTTTACCTCCAAAAGGAAAAGCACTCATCCCTCGGCCACAACCTCAGCTGACTAAACTTGGTGTTTTCCTTGGTGGGCAGCTGTGTTTCCAGGGCCTGACCTGACTCAACTTCCCCCATTCCTTGGCTGCCCAAGGACCCATGGCCTCCGCCTTCCTTGCCCCTCTCCAGCCCACACTGCACATCCTCAGCAAACACTTGTTGAGCAACCCATGTTGTAACACCCATGCTAGAGCTTGTGCATAGTTGAAATCTAACCACTACCCTTGGGCTCTGGGAGTTAGTAGGGGAGCCACACAATCAAACAGGCATCTGATATAATCACACGACTCCCCATGAACAAACAAATTCTGGTATGTATTAGGCATTTTAAGTCTCTTTGCCTGTGATCTTTTAATTCATTAACTCATCCCAACTTAATGATCTGGCAAACTTCTACTGACCATGAAACATCCCCTCCTGGAAGACAGCTGCCTTGATTATCCTCCTTTAGAGAGAAGTAGATTGCCCCTTCCCCATGGTACCAAAGTGAGGTACATGTCTATACTGAGGTCACAGTGTGTGTTTGCAAGCTCATCCTCACCCACCTCCCCATCTTCTGGCCTGCCAGCCCCTTGTGGGAAGGGCCCACGTTTTCTTGTTTTTGGTATTTCTGGCACTTCTCGCACTCCCTGAGGCCAAAATAGGACCTTGGCCTTTCCTACCTTCTGAGCGTCTATGTCTAGCCTCTCTCCCTGGAATTCTATTCCATTGGAATAAATATGGAATAAAACCATGAGGCCAGTACAGAAACCAACAGTCAGAGTAGTGTGAGAACCTCTAGAAGCTGGGATCTATGCAGAACAAGGGCCAAAAGGGTTGCGCACATCCTCACCAATCACTGAAACCAGTCCTGTCCGAGAAGAGTCTAACTCAGGTCACATACATCATTTAACATTTTTTACATAGTCATCTTTTAAAAGCAAAGCCAGTACAATTAATTATCTAATTAGTGTAAAATTATTACTGAGTATTTTAGTTTTGTTTTTTCACACCAAGCCTACAAAATCCGTATGTATTTCAGACAAGCACAAGTGAAGGGTTCAGGAGCTACAGATAAGCAGTGACCTCTGTGCTGGACAGAATACATTTAGGTGTGGGAGCCACCGGAGTTTTACATTTCAAAGCAATGATACTGTACCCCTACTGTCCATAGTACTCCTTAAAGGCACAGTATTAAATTTGACAGTTTTTATGGGCATTCATCTGTGTAGAAACTACTGGACAAGGCCTGAGGGACAGAAAGGAGGGTTATAAAGCACATACTTGAATGGGGCAGAAAAAGGCCATAGAAAGAATATCAGCAACATGCAGTGGGAAGCCAAGGTCTCTATAGGACTTTGCAATGAGTGACAAAGGAATTACCAGATGAGTGACAAAGGAATTACCAAATGAAAAGGGAGGCATGTTCAACACACAATGATAGATGAGAGGAATTAAGACTGCATCCAAGTGAGGGAAAGAGCAGAGGGTGAGGGGTTTTAAGAAATGGTAGGGGCTGGATCACAATGGGGCCTAGCTTTACCCTACAGAAAACTGGATATTTGTAGAAGAAATTGCACAGGAATTGACATTCTGTATCAACTCACAGGGTGAATATAAAGAGATGTGCAGCTTTCTAGAGAGACAGGCAGAAACTCAGAGAAACTAAGGTTGATCCACTCACCTTAAAAAGGTGGGGGTGATTTACCTATAACGAACAGGAAATTTATCTTTCTTATCGCATTTAGAATTGAGTGATATACTACCATCTAAACTGTCTATGCTTAGTTATCCCCTGGTATCTCATTTTTTAGCCCTAAACATACAGATGAAGATAAAAGAATGGAGAAAGAACCACACGAAATGAAACCTCAGAGAACAGAAAAGGATCCACACTCAAATCACATGGCCAAGGTATCTGTGTTCTAGGGTTCCAGTTCAGTTCTGACATGTCATAGGTTTTTTCACACATGTGATTGTCAAGGAATCAGATGGTCGACATGGGACCACCAGGTAACCAAATCATGGAATCCACTGTATATGGGATTGACTTACTGAATGAAATAAAACATGGGATTGTTGTGTGATCACTTCATGGATATACATTTGAGTATGGGCTCAAAGCAGATCCAATTTCTCTGCTTGGGGGAATTGACTTAAAACATGGGTTTGTCATGGAGCCCACCACAAGAACATGGGATTGTCATTGGATACATTTCCCCAAACATGGATTGCCATGGGATCATGCAAGATCATGGGAATCTGTAGATGCATAGGCTGTTTTGTGAAATCATGGGTTCCATTTTGTGAAATTCCCTCATGCAGAATCATGGAGTCCATTATGTGGGATCATGTGATCTATTATGGGAACCATGGGACTCATTATGTATGGCTTCCTTATACAATCATGCAAGATCATGGGACCCTTTATGCAAAAGCATGGGATCCATTATGGCGAAT